AACCTCTCAGCGACATCTCTCATTAATGGCCGTTCTTCCCCCCTCATACTCAAGCAACACTTTGCCAATTGAGCAATTTCTTGGAGCAGCTCCGCTTCGAAGTCTAATATATTCTTGTCCAAGATGAATTGAAGTCCATTTTCTTTCATTGCCAGAAGGAAGGATGATGCAAGGTTTTTCTTTTCTCCAGCACTGTCAGAATAAATTGCGAACTTCATTGTAATGAGCTCTAGGAGCACAACTCCAAAACTATAAACATCACTCTTCTCTGTTAGTTGACGCTCTTGCAAGTATTCAGGGTCAAGATAACCTATAGTTCCCTGTACCATTGTCATAAATTGTATTTCATCCGTAGGAAGCATTCTTGATGCTCCAAAATCAGTCACTTTTGCTGTGAAGTTGTCGCCTAGGAGAATGTTTGGAGATTTTACATCTCCATGAACTATGGGAGGGGATGCTGATGAGTGCAGATATGCTAGTGCTTCTGCAGATTCCTGAGCTATCCTGAGACGTGTATCCAGTGAGATGGAAAGTCTTCTGTTTTTACCATGCATCAGCTCGAATAGGGTGCCGTTTGGGATGCATTCATATACCAACATTGGAACTTCCACTTCTAAGCAACATCCTAGAAGCTTTACCACATTCCTGTGGTTTATCTGTGAAAGTATAACCATCTCTTGCGCAAATTCATCTTTCTGGTCCATGTTCATAACCTTTGAGCGCTTTATGGCTACCACTCTTCCGTCTTTGAGAATTCCCTTGTAAACAGTTCCATGGCCACCTCTTCCTAATTCTCTGCTTGAGTCAAAATTGTTTGTTGCGTTCTCTAGTTCTTCCCTTGTGAATATTCTCACTGTATCAACTTGCTTTGACCTGATTTGCTCATATAGTAGCAGGCCACCATTTTGTTGGAAGAATATCTGCTTTTCTTTCGCCAGCCTTCTCTTCTGACATTCAATCAGGAGTGCCAAAATGCAGATAAGGAGAAGTACAGCACATGCTGAAATACCTGCGAAGAATAACATTCTTTCAGTTACTTTTAGTCTTATAGATAATGCCTAATGGTGCTCAGAGCACTTGCCCCCTTTTTGAAAAAATATTTCCGTTCTTCCAAAAATTCCAAAATATCCCACATATAATTGACTAATTATTTTGTTTGGATTTCAAGTTATATGAAAATCTTTACACGGCTGTGAAAAAACCCCAAGCCTTTCCTTCAACACTAAAAGAAACTTTTTTAGTAATCATTTTTAGGCAGATTACAAATCAACATTTTTTTCCAATAAACTAGATGAGCACCCAACAGCATATAAATATAAGTAGTCACATGGTTCTGTTTCTATTGTAAGAATTTTTTGTATCATTTATCTATGATCTGCTGCGAGCTTGCGACAAACAGCACCTGGATATTGTTTTATAACTAATTTATTAACCACCAGCATCTATTAAATTATGTACAAGACTACACGGCACCTGGTTCTGCATCTTATTTTTATTGCGATTACAGTGCATACTTTTGGGACAAGGTAGGATGAATGTCCTAATATGTATATTTTGCAAACAAGTGGGAAAAAGTGTTATTTCTTATTTGTTCATATATGCAGCTAAGTTTTCTAGGAATGAATCTCACTCATGCCTCCCTATATGTGCTATATCAGTTTGACCTATCCACACTATTCAGAGGCACTTACTGAAATATCCTGAGTATATGAAGATTACCTATAAAGATTTTTGTTAATCTAGCTCTTTCTGAAACTGCAATTGGTTTGCAGGTTTCTCTCTTTGGATCTATGCTGGTAGTCCCAGAGTCGCATGAGCAACTGTAGTCCCCAATTGTGTTGCTGCAGGTTCCATGGCAAGGATACTGATCTCGAAAACTGCACTCATTGATGTCTGCAAAGGGATAGATAAATAACTGAAGATCAGTGTACAGATAACTTAAGGCGAACTTAAAAGAAGTGAGTTACAGTGAGTTATCGACCTTGGCATCCTCCTTCCAGGTAGGGGTTGCCTGCAAAACCATCGCTGCAGGTACAGAGATATCCTGTAGCATTTGGTGACATGATGCAATGGCTATTCTTGCTGATGCAGGCGTAAGATGACATGTTGTTCCCTGCTTCATCACAGTTTTCATGTCCAGCAACCCAGTCAAGCACAGTAGGTACCCCGTTGTTGAACTTCTCTGTGAATTTATTATCTTCGAGATAGGAAGCCTCGAACCTGAACCAATCCTGCTCTGCGACAAAAGCATAGCTGCATGGGTTAAAGCCACGCACCTCCGAATTGTCGAATCTGTCATCGAATGATATATTGGAGGAACTGAGGTTTGGTGCAATAGATGTCTGGCAACAGCCCATGCCAGAGCACTGCCCACTGTGATCCACACTTTGCTTGTCCGCGCACATCGAGAAACACCCAGCTCCCACATTGTGCTCGTTATAGCCTCCCAGGAATGCAAGGGTGTTGCATCCAACTGCTGTTAATTTGTTCGCCTTGGTGGATATCTTAAAGAAATCAGCAGTATTTGATGAGACCCATCCATCTGTGTTGTTGCTGTTGCTGTAGAAGCACTTGGAGGCAATCAATGTGCTGACTCGGGTCTGCCCTCCTGACAGACTGATGTTGTAGATCTCCATTTGGCTGCTCGAGTTATGCATGAACACACGATTGTTCTCGCATGAAACATCAAACTCTTCACTGTAGAAGCAACCTTGACCGATGCCGAAGGGGTATGGGATGGTGAGGTTGCCGCATGTTTCTTGGCATCCAGGCTTCGCCATCCTGGACGCTGTGCTGCTCTTGATGCTTGCTAGCAGCAGCAGGGTGGCTGCAAAGATTACCCATGGTAAGGCTCTTGCCATCTCTTTGTGTAGAGTCCTGACTCCTATTCTGTTTGTCCTATGATTCAGCTCTCCTTCTCTAACTTGGCTATGCTTATATAGCGAAACAGATGTGGACTAATTGGCCCCACATGCATTTCTTTTTTGTCCAATCAGGGTGTAGAGCCGGCCAGAAGTGGTTTTGGGGTATGCGATAGCGTGTCCGCTGTGAGACCGCGTCTCAGTTGGCAGTTTTGTTTTAGCCAGTTTTGCGAACCTAACCTATAATATATTTTTATCAAACAAATTACAAGGTTTTTTTAAGAGATATGGATCCTATTCTTAGGTGTGGCAATTCTGGTCTACCAATTGGAGCATTAAGTTTTACACTGTACTTTTTATCCTCAAAATGCCTGATATGATCACACTGAACAACTGTAGCAGAAATTATAAATTCAATGCAGTATGTCACTTTCCAGTAAATTGTTTCCCTCTGTTGCATATTAGAAAAAATAAAGTTTCCAACTGGTCATGATCACACCTCACTAGTGCGCTAAAATTAGTGTCATGGTTAGGTGGAAAGGCAAATATGTTCTTATATTAGGAACGTGTTTAGATGCTAGACAGAGATCACCTTTGCCCTGCTTTATCATAAAGCTAAAAGGAGGTTCAGGTCCTTGAGAAAACCGGGCCACATGTTTAGATGTCGATATGATGGCTATAACAGTGAAATTCCGAAAGCATCTTGCCAACTTGCCTCCCCCGAAAGCATCTTGCCACCTACCCGATGACCTGATCATCAGATTCTTATCCCGTCAACGTACTCCATTTGGCTTAACCTCCCTGTCCCCTTTGATGGAATGCCACATCTGTTATCTATACAACTGGAGTTTCTTTTATGAAATGGAAGCAGTGTAGTGATAAATTGGTAATTGGTAGGCACCAGCCTCCAGGTGAATCTGAATTCACATATAAGACCGGAGACCGATTCTTTTATCCTGGATGCATGGATGACCTGTTCAAATGCTGTACTTAGTATTATCACCAGTAACTAAAACTAGCTGATTAAACTTAATCTTGTGGGTGCCGTAGGTGATTGAGCCAGGAAGGTTCTTGTTGACCCAGGGTCAAGACAGCGAATGTACGGTGCATGAAAGGAAGTTTCCCTGATGTGACATGTTGTATCTGCAATCGGGTCAAGTCGTTAAAGGGAGTCTTCCAAAGGACAAGAAGGCAATCTAATGCGCATCCGGGTTCACGACAGCGAAGGTGAGCTGATTTTGCATCCCAGCATTTCATTAGACCGGTAAAGGGTTAGGATTATTCCCATGAACGACTAATTCTGCCGTCTGGGTTGATTTCATCTGAGAGCAGATTTGCACCTCAGGGTTGTCCTTGGATGTATGCTCGACCAATTTTCTGTTCAATGCTATGCACTGTTGGAGTGTGATTTGTTGTTACAGGGAAAAATTACTACCTTCACATCTATTTAGAAAAGGGTAAAGGCAAGGACTACCTGTGTTTTCAAAGGAAAAACGCACACCATGAAAGCCACTGTAAGTTAACCTTTCCTTATGGCCGTCGCATGTGCAAGGAAGGGATGTGATTGGGCTTGGTGTGATTTTTTTAGACATGACACCCGTCCTCACTGCCAAATGCGGTAGAGTCGAGGAACGAGAAGCTGAACTGATTTTGCATCACAGCCATTGATTAGACCGGTGAAGGAATAGGTTATTCTGTGAATCCCTTGGACCAATTCATCCCTGTCATTCGAGTACTCGACTTGGGTTTGAGCATATTTGCACCTTAGGTTTGTTGTCCTTGGGTTTATGCTCGAGCAGTTTACATTTTTCTGCACTATGCACGTTGGAGTGTGACTTGTTGTTTAAGATTTGTTATTTTTACTACTTTAACACGTGTAGGAAAAAGGGCAAAGTAAAGGATTATTCGTGTTAACTTTTGAGAAGAAAAGAACAAAACACGAAAGCACCATAAGTTAATCCGCCTCGATAGATCTTGGTCGTCGCATCCGCAAGGAAGGGATATGATTGGACTTGGTGTGTATACTTGGCTCATTTTTAAGAAGGCCCTGCAAAATGTCCAGAATGCAGCAAGAAGTGTCATCACATTGCTCTCAGTCCAAACCACCAAATTAGGGTTTCCAAACCTAGCGGCGACAGAATGGGCGGCGGCGGCGCGCCGTACCCATGCGAGACCCGAGTGGATGAGCACGTACGCCAGAAAATGGCCTCGTTGCCAATCCCCGACGATCTCGTAGCGGACATCTTCCTTCGCCTACCCACGCCAGCCGACCTCATCCGCGCCGCCGTCGGCTGCATCTCCTTCCACAACATCATCACCAACCGCTCCTTCCTCCGCCGTTTCCGCAAACTCCACAACCCGCCCCTCCTCGGGTTCCTCGACAATCATCGAGTCTTCCACCCTGCCAGCCCGCCTCACCCCTCTGCGCCGGCAGCCAGTGCCGTCGCTGTTGCTGCTGACTTTTCCTTCTCTTTCCTTCCTGGCGCCAGCCACGACTGGGCCATCCAGGACATCCGCGATGGCCGTGTCCTCCTCAACAAAATCCATGAGGTTGGTATCGGTCAGAAGAAGGGAATCTTCGATGAGATGGTGGTGTGCGACCCCCTGCACCGACGGTATCTCCTGCTCCCGCCAATCCCCGAGGATCTAGTAAATCCAGTGGAGGATCCACACTTTACGGAAGAGGCATATTGTTTGTACCAGATCTTCCTTTTGCCTCCCTGCGACAATGATGAGGAGGCAACAGCTGTGGAAGAGACGTCATTTAGAGTGGTTTTGATGGTATGGTGTGAAACTACGATGGTTGCCTTTGTCTTCTCTTCTAGTACGAGACAATGGCGAGCCATTCCATCCCTGGGCTGGGATACTATAGTTGCTAACTTGCCACTGAGAGCGTATTGTCTCTTCGCCGCACGCCAATACGCGTATGGCTGTTTCTACTGGATGTTACATTTTTGCAAGAAAATATTGGTGCTTGACACTTGGAAGATGGAGTTCTACATTGCTAACCCCCCACCTCAAGCAATATGTTTATCTTTTCTGGATATAGTCATTGTGGAGGCAGGGGAAGGTAGAGTTGGGATGTTTGTGCCAGGAGTAGGCAGAAATGGACTTGAGTTCTATACAATGTGGAGAAACAATGGTGGGACTTACATGCAGTGGAAGTTGGAGAAGACGATCTCAGTTCATTTTTTGCACTACTCTGCGGGTTCAAATGGGAAACACTTGTTCATATATGATGTGGAAATCCCGTCGGTTGGCTATGGTTGTTTCTCACTAGACATCAAGACATTCCAGCTTAAAAGGGTGTGTTCTTCAAAGACATGGATCCCTAATCCGCTTGCATATAGCAACTTTCCACCATCAATTTTGGCATCACCAACAATAGCAAGTGGTAAACTTTCTTAGTTAACTCCTTCCTTGTATAGTTATCCAACAACTTGTCTGAAACTCGGTACTCCTTATTGTGATTGGTAATTTTCATTTACATGGTTTGGTAGCTGTTACCTTTTCCATGCTTGTGGCAACGCTCATTGTGATTGGGGTGCGTCCAACATTGTGGTGTTATGTTCTGTCTGGTCTCCTTAAGGGAGTTCTTAAGTTGTCTAGTTTGTTTTGTATGAATGTTGGCTGGAGCAAGGGCTTCAGGTTTTGTTCCAAGACATTGTTGTTCAGAAAAGAGTGTTGTCCCTTTGTGACAACCTTTCTGAGGCGACTTTGTCTTTATCTTTGTCATGCAATATGAAATGGGACTGGAGCTATTTAATCCGGCAAAAAATGACGAGTTATGAAGATTGATTCTCCAACTTGTATGCGGTCCTTAGATACCTCGTCTATTATGCTTCTTACTGTGTTTTTCACAAAAGAAATTTACCAAGTGTTGTCGAATAGTAAGACCTATTGTTTGTTTTGCTCGCAAGCTCCAGAATATATATCTGCAACCTGAGTATGTTTATGTTGGGCAGGTACTCAGGAAGGTGAGAAGGAGATGCTGGAACAAGGCGCGAAAACGCAGCAAGCTGAAGAACATGTGGACAGCCAGCATGGTGGGAGCACCAGTGATGGTGTTGATGCTGGAGGTCACCCTGGCATGCCGAGGATCAGAGATGGCGCTGATTGAGTTTGTGCTGCAGCTCAGACAGCTGACCACATGTTGGTCTGTAATAGGCAGCTCTGTTTGGTCCGTAATAGTTGACCTGGAGTTTATCTTCATCCCGTGTGCTTTCGATTTGACTTGAAGTTTATCATGTGTACTTTCAATATGATGATGGTTGGTGTGTTTGCCGCATAAAGACTATGTGAGTAGTCAAACGTGAACAATTTGAGTTTGTGAGGTATTTGCAACTAAGCAGAAGTGTTGGCTTATAATCTAGAGTATTTGTGTTGTTCTTTCTTTGGACAGTGAAGTTACTTTTAGCAGTACTATTTGTGTTTCATGGGATCTCTTTCGTGCTGTTCTTTTTCTTGCACAGTGAAGCTACTTGAAGTTCTGTGAGATGCCAAATGTGTTATAGAATAAATAAATAGAACTAAGTCAGGCATTTTGGAAAACAAGCAGAGGTACTGATCTACTCCATGAGCAATGATAAGGTGAAGGGAACATGCTTGTGATGCCTGTTAATGTTGTACCCTAAGGATTTCTTTGTGCTGCTCTTTTTCTTATAGAGTGAAGTTACATGTGGTTCTGTTTGATCTCATCTGCACCCTCAATCAGTTGTTCTCTCTCAGGGGAAAGTGGTGGTTCTTGCTCAATTCTGCCCATATAACTCTTCTGCCAAATCTGATGCTGCCACCAAGAAGAACAAAGAGCCGGCCTTGCTGCTGAAATTGGATATTGCCGGCGCTTTTGACAATGTGTCTTGGAGTTACCTGCTCGAACTCATGTCAAGATTGCCTAGGGTTCGGCCAACGTTGTTGTGACCTGATTGCTTTGTTATGGTCCTCCACCTCCTCTAGGATCCTGGTGAATGGAGAGCCTGGTCTGTGTTTTTGCACAAGCAAGGCCTGCGTCAGGGAGACCCTAGCTCTCTCCCCGATGCTTTTCACAATTGCTATTGCTCCTTTGCATTGGTTATTTGCCAGGGCCTACTATGTTGGAGCTCTTAGTGGACTAAGACTGCCACCTTCCCAGCCACGGGTCAGCCTCTATGCTGATGATGCTGCCCTGTTCGTGTCTCCGGCTGGTAAACTCCCTACTCTCGGTGATCCCGGTATACTTAATTTCCCTCTTCAAGCTCGATATTTGGGCCCTGAAGCAGATTGACAAGCTCCGAAGGAATTTTTTGTGGCGCTCCAAGCCGGACGCTGCTGGTGGCATGGCTCTTGTGAACTGCCAAGGATATGGGTGGTCTAGGTGTCCTTGATCCAAGAAGATTTGGACGTGCCCTGCGGCTACGATGGAAGTGGTTGGATTGGACTGATAAGGACAAGAGCCATGGTCTAGTTCCTCAATCCCATGTGACCAAGGATGATTTGGCTCTTTTCTCGGCATCTACTTATGTAACAACGGTTGGAAATGGTCAGCGCACTAGCTTCTGGAGCGACTGATGGTTCGACGACCAGGCTTTGCGGCACACGGCTCCAGACATCTTCAAGCTATCCAGGTGCAGAAACATCAAGGTTTCTCACTCATGTTTGGTTGCGTCTGGGCCAGGCACGCTTGCAAGCCGACATCGAGGACACCCTCAGTTGGGTGTGGACCCCATCCAATGTATACACCGCTGCTTCCTCGTACCACTGCCAGTTCTTTGGTTCTTTCTCACGCATCAGTTTTTACAAACTTTGGAAAGCATCAGTTCCTCCCAAATGCCGGTTTTTCGTGCGGTTATGGCTTCGTGGTAGAGTCCTAACTAATGACAACCTGGAGATTCATGGCATTCCCCACAGTTATGCTTGCAACCTATGCGATCAGGAGGACGAATCACCTATATATGCACCTTATTCTCAAATGCCCCTATGCTAGAACTGTTTGGCAGCGGGTTGCGGAATGGACGGACTGTCCCGCTTTGGCCTCCAATGCCCAAGATATTGAGACCATCATTGAGTGGTGGAATGTGCGCACCCGCAGCCTGCCAAAGAAGCATGTTTCGACTGCAACTTTCACCGCATGGCATCTCTGGAAAGAGCGTAACAGGCGAGTCTTTGGGCAAAAGTTCATGGATGAAGCTGCTCTCTTTTACCCGATTAAGCAGGATATTTTACAGCCGACGGTATCCATCCGCTGAATTACTGATGTCAAGAACGAGCCTGAACCAGAGCCTGACTAGGACATCTCTGTTTTATTTTGATGTGGGGGTCACCTTAACCTCAACCTCCTGTAACACAAGGATTTTGTATTTCTTTACTCCTTAATATATCGGCAGCAATTGCCAGTTCCTCAAAAAAGATTTGTCAATCTGCCTTCCAATTTATTTATTTGGGCCAAGCCTGATGAAAGTAGTGTTTTCAAAGGGGAAAACAGCACAGCCACGTTTGATTGGTTTGGCTCAACCTCCCTCTCCACCCAAAAAAGGAGGGCTTTCCCCCATCCTCTGCATCAGATGCACAACCATCTTTATTTATTACTCTCTCTGTAAATAAATATAAGATCGTTTAGATCATTATTTTAGATCGAGCTCACAAAAACACTACTACCACATATGTTGTGCACCAGCACTTACATTTTGACTTATCATTATGTGAACTAGTGGAATGTCTTACTCATTGCTTTCCTTGCCATCCTCGACACAACACAGTTATTTTTTCCCATGAATTTATCATGCGAAGTACTCCCTCCGTCCCAAAATGTAAGACGTTTTTTGATACTATGATAGTGTCAAAAAACGTCTTACATTTCGGGACGGAGGGAGTAGCTGATTGCGAAACTTAACCTGCTTCACAAAACACGAGTTGTTCAGAAATTCAATCGGTTTTTGGAACTTCTCATGTTCCTATTATGGACTCTAAATGTATTCTAAGTACAGTTAAAGAGATTACTTTTCACAGTGACACCTTTGTCATACTGTGATTATTTTTCGTTTGAAGATAATTTTTTTCTGATTCTACATGTGTACCTGTGCCATTAATAGCTAACAGGTTTCTTGCAGTAGTAAATGACCTTGGCGGTTGGTGAAGCTCTGCACACTGTTTGAGCAATCGAACTGGGAAAAACCAATCGAACCGGGCGGGGTTTTGAAACCGGCGAACCTGGCGGTTTGCAGAAAACCGGTTGGTTCGGTGCTGATTCCCCAAAACACTCCATTGCCGCGTGAAAAAATCAGGGGATTTCCCTCCCCAGAAAGGTGTAATAGCCCCCGGGTGCCTAGGCACCCTCTATAAACAGTAAATTCCAAAAAATAGAAAAAAAATAAAAAAATCTGTAACTTTGCAACATCAAAGATGGTCAAACTTTGTAGGTTCTTGCAAGCTTTCATACCAAAATATCATGTAGAGAAAGGTGTACAAACGAGTTTCAGACTTCAGTGCTAAAAGTGCTCAAAACTTCAAGCACCTATGTGTTTTTCGTGTGTAGAGCTCCTCGAGCGATTTTTTGTCATGAAAACTTGCAAGCACTTACAAAGTTTGATCATCTTTGATGTTACAAAGTTCTCGTCTCGCCGTCGCTAGAGGCACTGGTTGGCAACCAGCGACATCTACGGCTGTGGATTCCGGAGGCCTTGGCTGAATGTCCCGATAGCTCTGGCCAGGTCTGGAAAAATCGGATCGGCAACCGGTCGCGCCCGTCCTCACCAAACCATCCTCTGATCACCGGCGGGATGACCGGCGACGCTAAAGTCCATGGCTTGGTGATGGTGTTTCAGATCTGGTCGGCCGAATGGGGATGTGTGGAGACTGTTGCTGCGGCCTCCTACGGTTCCACAACGGCGGAGGTCACCGAAAGATCTTCGGGAGTCTTCATCTCAAGATCCACTGGTTGACTTCGACGGTGAGATACAAATTATGGACGACGACTTGACACAAAGGAATGGTTGTGGAGTGGCGGCGGCGGACGCATCGCACGTAGTTGCTGGGATTGTGAAAAAATGGTGGTGACAACACTTGATGACTTCCATGATGCTACTAAGCATCAGGTCACGAGCTCCAGGGTGAAAGCCTTGGTCTGACCCAAGCTGGTTGTACCTGGCAATGGCGATGTATTTACGTTGTTACCTTGTTGAAGGCATTGCTCGGATATGCTTAGATTGATTCTTCAGGGTGAAAACCTAGATCCTAACCTTATGGTTGGATCCGGTGACGGCGATGCTTAAGTGTCACTTCCTTCTTGAAGGCGTTACTGTTGAAGAACTCCGTCGTCTGTATGGTGTTATGAGATGGATGGTGTGGATATGGTCATTGTTGTAGTTTGCCGATCATGGATCTGATTACTTTGGACTTTTTTTATTACCCCCCGCCTACGCATAGCTTTGATCTAATATGACTTTGCTGTTGCTGGCGTGTTTTTTGTGTGCGTGTGTTGATGTTGGCTGTGTGCATCCTAACTATGCAGAGGCCGGGTGTGCGCTCTTAAGGTATGTATTCTCTTGATGCTCCTTTTTGAGCCAATAAAATCCACCCTTTATAAAAAAAAGGCATCCGGAGCTGAAAAATCACTCTCTTTCCCTCCCATCTCTCCAAACATCAATGAACTGTTTTTTAAAATTTGTAAGTTTTTTTTCAAAATTTGATGGACTCTTTTTGTAAAAATCAACTTTTCCAAATTGTTTTGAGATAATTCGCAAATCTAATAAATAGAGTGCATGTATTGGTCTTAAAACTTTCGCGACCCTTGTAGTCAAGTGGCACTTACCGGCTGTAGTGGTAAGGTTAAGAAAACTGTTCTTTTGTTGTGCCTGCAAGTCGCGAGTTCGAGTCCTGTAGCCGCATTGTTTTGCGTGATTTTTTCGCGAGGCATATTTCCTTCTACAGGTGCGGCACGTGTGTGCTAGCTACTTGTTCGGGCGCTTAAGGCGCCGAATAGGAGCTCTTCAAACAAGGAGACTGGCTTGGTGGGCTCTTCGCTTGTAGTGAAGTGTCCAATGCGCACTAGAAACGTCCGAACATATACCGATGGACCGGGAGTTGGGCCTAGGCTGCTAACAAGTGGTATTAGAGCTGGGCCCCACGCCACCCTAAGGGGGGGGG